AGGAAGAGGAGGACCACACAAGGAAGAGGAGGATCACACAAGGAAGAGGAGGACATCACAAGGAAGAGGAGGACATCACAAGGAAGAGGAGGATCACACATGGAAGAGGAGGACCAACAAGAAAGAGGAGGACACCACAAGGAAGAGGAGGACCACACAAGGAAGAGGATGACATCACAAGGAAGAGGAGGATCACACATAGAAGAGGAGCCCTTGCTAGGATACAGGGTATCCACTACGTTGGCCAAATTGGTAGGAAACAAGCTTCATTTTTGGATTGCTATGTTTTATTCTTGGTAAACCCAATTAGGACACACCTTACACCTCTTGACTCTTCATGTTAACAGATTAATGGTTAAACAAGCTTCAATCTTGTGGCAGAGAACACATGTCACTCTTTAGGAGTCCAGAGAATGGGAACAGAGATCCACTGCCACCAGCCATGGAAGAAAGGTTAAGTAACAAATTAAATGTGCTAAATCCATTGCTTGTGCTCTTTCACACATGATAATGATTAAGGTCTCTTTTGATGTAAAATTTCTGTCTTTAAGAAACAGGACAACCAGACCCTTACACTGTCAAAGGTCTGGAAAATTACATCACTTGCTAGCAGCAAGAGTATCTACCAAGAGTTGGACAACAGTTGAACACACAGTGAGGAGGAGTTCATTGCCAGGGTACAGGATCTCCATTATGCCAGCAGCCATTTATTAGTCAAAGTGGTAAGAAACAAGCTGCATTTGTTGCACCATTAGATTTCTGTTTTCTACACATATAACACATATTTGACTCTAAACTCTTTATGTTCACAGAATAATGCTTTGGCAGTTGATCACACTGAAGAGAGGAAATCAATCACTTGTTATGATAAGTCCAGGGAGCAGGAATCAACCGCAGCCAACCATGGAAGAAAGGGTAAGCCAATTATATTATACATGACATTCTTTAATCATGAATTAACAATAAAAACTGGTAAATTAAAAGGTACTTCTTCACTTGTTTTGGTACTGAACTAATCTTGTTCATATTCTGTCATTGCTAAGGGTCCAGAGGAGGTATGGAGCCAGCACCACATTCAGGAAGAGAAGAGCATTGCCAGAATATGGGGTATCCACTATATAAGCAACAGGCCAACATTGGCCAAAGTGGTAGGAAACAAGATCATTTGTTGCATTTTGCATTTCTCTTTTCTATTTTCAATTTATTCAAGCTTTGTGATGGTTTTAGTACAAGTTTGACCTCTTGACTCTTTATGTTAACAGAATAATAGTTAGCCTCAATCCCACTACAAAGAATGACAACAGCACTTGAAGGGGAGCCCAGGGATTAAAGATCATCTGAATCCCAAACTCATCAAAGTCAGGGTAAGAAGAAAAAAACACATCTGATTCCAATTCATGTGCTCATCTTAACTTATGTAGACTAAGCCTCCTTTGATCTGAAATATCAGTATCATACAAAGTAATGTACCAAGAGCTTAAATTAACTGCATCCAACTATGCAGGTGCCAACAAGGATGGACAGATGCCAAATTGAGGATGATGGCACAATGAAGAAGAGGACCATACAATGGAGATGACTATGCAAGGAAGAGGACCACACATATAAGAGGAGGACATCACAATGAAGAGGAGGACATCACAAGGAAGAGGAAGACATCACAAGGAAGACAAGGAAGAGGAAGACATCACAAGGAAGAGGAAGACATCACAAGGAAGAGGAGAACCACACAAGGATGCACATTAGACCTCTTGACTCTTCATGTTAACAGATTAATGGTTAAACAAGCTTCAATCTTGTGGCAGAGAACACATGTCACTCTTTAGGAGTCCAGAGAATGGGAACAGAGATCCACTGCCACCAGCCATGGAAGAAAGGGTAAGTTACAAATCAAATGTGCTAAATCAATTGCTTGTGCTCTTTCACACATGATAATGATTGGGGTCTCTTTTGATGTAAAATTTCTGTCTTTAAGAAACAGGACAACCAGACCCTTACACTGTCAAAGGTCTGGAAAATTACATCACCTGCCAGCAGCAAGAGTATCTACCAAGAGTTGGACAACAGTTGAACACACAGTGAGGAGGAATTCATTGCCAGAGTTCAGGATCTCTATTTATTAGTCAAAGTGGTAAGAAACAAGCTGCATTTGTTGCACCATTAGATTTCTGTTTTCTATTCTCTCTCTAATTTGAACACATATTTGACTCTAAACTGTCTATGTTCACAAAATAATGCTTTGGCAGGCCTTGATTGCAATCTCCCACTGTCTGGGTCAGGAAGAGTTAATCACCAGCCAAAGTAATACTGGTAGCCAGAATTGTCCTGGGCCTGCAGGAGATGGTAAGAATAAGATCCACTCCTTGTGTTCTGTCAATTTATGTCCCTTTTTCTCACTTGTTGAATTCTTTTCAACCTTTATTGATTGATCTGTACATACTCTGTTTACAGACAGGGGACAAGGCTGATCATATGTTAAAAAGTAATTCCTCATGGTGATGGCGAAGTTTGAAGAATACTCATTGATTACACCCTACTGTAGAAGTGAGGGTAATGTACAAATTTTACTCAGTTCACTCTGAGAGATTCCATAACTTTCTCGAAGTACTTTTGTTCCATTAATCTCTATATTCTGTGATAACAGGGAGTTAGGCTAGCCATGATCCAGTGTTCAAGAGCATTCATGTTTCAACTGGAGTACCAAGAAAGTGATGAACCTTTGCCAAACGTAAAAGTAAGACTTGACACATATTTTTCTTTTCTCTGTTTGAAATTTTATTTTTCTTTGCCATTAGATAAAGTGTTAAAATTCTTTTGTTATTGACTTTCCTTTGTTCTTTGTTAACAGAGACTTGGACTGGCCTTCTACACGAGTCTTAGAAGAACCTGTAGGACAGAAGATTCCAGATTGTGGCTGACCAGAACACCAAAAGGCAAGATACAGTTTTTACTCCATACTCAAACTTTCTCAGTAGGTCACGAGTCCGTACACAAACTTTCTCAGTAGGTCACCTCATGCTCAAACTTTCTCAGTAGCTCACCCAATTAGTCCATACACAAACATTCTCAGTATGTCACCTGAGTCTCAATGATTTAAGCCCAGGATTTGACAACACATTCATATCACAGAATTCCTACATTTCTTTATAAGACTACAAGTTTTCATGGTTTAAGATGAATTTGATCATTATACCCCCCCCCCAAACGAAGTTTGGGGGGGGGGGGGTATATTGGAATCACCATGTCCGTCTGTCTGTCCGTCTGTCTGTAGACGAGATTTTGTCCAGGCCATTTCTCTGAAACTATTGCAAGGATTTGTCTGCAAATTTGTACACTTATTATTCACCATATGAAGGTGTGCACCTGGTTTTTTCATCATGATTGGATAATTTTTCTGCATTTTACATGTTTTTTTTCATTTTTATTATGTGGTTTTGTCCGGACCTGTTCTCAGAGGCTATTGCATAGATTTGTATGAAAATTTGTACACTAATTATTTACCATATGAAGATGTACACCTGGTATTTTCAACATTATTTGATAATTTTTCTGCATTTTACAGATGTTTTTTTTTTTCATTTTTATTGACTTCGTCATTATGGGTTTATAAATGTTTAAGGCTTGAGACATAGAATCTAGAACATCTGAAGTGTAAAAAAAAATGTGAACTACAGCTTAAAACTGCTCATTAAAACTAAAAAAAAAAACAGCACCAGGTATTAAAAACAGTTTTTACATTACACAGCAGATAGTGTAAATCCATTTGTTCCTTGGGAGTAATGAGTGGACATGCATCCAGTTAAAGATTAATTAATGAGTTCAGTGTGGGAAGTTGTTAGTGCATCTCTGATCAAGCAGGTGTTATCTATATCTCCTGGGAATTTGGCAAAAGAATTAAAGATTTCTGTTCTCTAATTCTCTTAATTGTAATTTATTGTCTGTCAAAGTACTGACCAGCCTTTTATTTTTAAAATAAATTTGATATAAAGTTATCAAGATTAATTTGATTTTGTATAATACATATATGTATTTTTTTTTCAACAATCAATTTCAGCGTCATGTCCCAGAAAGATAAAAGATAGTTGCAATGTTTTAAAAAAACAAAGTAATAACAATGTATTAGTGTTGCTATTTTATTAGGTTGCACCTTAGTTTCATTCATTTAAAAAATATAATGAGCAATTATATTTTTACTCTAAATGTTTATAAGAAAATTGTGAATATAACCACTTAGATCCATAAAATATTAGTAATTTGGCACCTTCTCTAAAAAAAACCCAGCGGGGGGTATTTGTCCCTTTTGGACAGTTCTAGTTGTGTTTTTTCCCCTTATACAAATGCCAAAAATGCCATTCATTTTTCAAAATTTCTGAGAACAGAAATTTTCATTTAAACTTCTAAATAAATACTGCATTGACAATGTAATTCACTAAGTATGAAACATACAAATTTTTAAAAACTTTGGATTCCTGGAAGTTGACTAGTTTTGGGAGACATGTTGTAAACAGCATACTGCGGAATCATTAGATTTCATGGTGGCTCAGTATATGTGAAATTAGGAGTGACCCTCATCAACAAATTTTTATCCTCCATAAATTGAAAAAAAGGGATTTCAGAGTCATCTTTTCTTTTGTAAATATGAGAGAATATATGAAATTACATCCCCATGAACCTGTAAAATTTAAACAATCCATGAAAGTTGGCCCCCATGAATTTGAATGATTCTGCAGCATATTGTAAGTGTCTGACATTTTGAAAAACATGAAATCAAGAGATATTTAAACAATTAAATTTTTTCTTTGATAGTAGTACCGGAATCTGTATACAGGGTTATTTTCGTCCCATATTTTTTTGTCCTCTAAATTAAACTTACAAACTATTTTTGCACCATTTTAAATTCTCCCAGTCATAGTTCTGTTTAAGAAATCATACTGTCTTCTTGAATTTGCCCTGTCTTAAATTTGCCCGCTTGTGAATAGAGCAAAAGGGGCGAAAATAAGATGGAGGTGAATATTTTTCTGTATAGAGTATATTAGTTTTAGGTTTTGTTATTGATAAACATACATGGAATTTGATTTAAGACTATTTTAATCCTATTATAATTTCGGGGTGATAGAAAATTTTCAATATAATATACATATTTTGCTGCTATTTCTCCCAATTGAATCACTGTTGTTACCATTCCTAATTGATTCGTTAGTGATTATGATAGTTTGTTTTAAACAGGAGGAAGAGAGGAATTCCAGACTGATGGTACTCTGAAGAAAGAACAACGGTTAAGGGATGGACTTTGTGAAAAATTTCGACATTTGGACATTATATATCTCGAACTTATGTAATATATGTTTGTGTGTCTGAGTGTGTTATGTGTGTGTGTATGAGTTTATAAGGTCCATTGTAAGTTTTGCTTTTGGTAAGCCTTGTAATTGTGTATTAGCCCTTACAGTTTCACATTTTGTTTATGTATTGTTAAATAATATGGCTTTTTATTAACCTGTTTCCCTGTAATAGCTATTAATAATTCAAAACAGTCACTGTGAGACTGAGAAATTTTAAAAAGGATAGCTTTTGATGTATGTTTCACATTTTTTTTTTTTTGGGGGGGGGGGGGGGGGGGTCAGTATCATGATCCCTATTATAATTCAATCCCAATGACACCTTTTGGGATCTCTCTGCAATCACTGCCTGATCCTTGTATGGATCATAAATTTAATAAGCCTAAGATTATGAGATATTTTCATTTCATGCTTCCTAGGAACAGTGCGTGTTACCTTGACCTTCAGTCAAATATCTGAGGTTGTATTGGAATTTCATCATCTATATTTTAGTAAGGGTCAGGATTTTCAGTCCTTTTTCATTTAAACATTCAGTCCTTGTCACTTGATACATATAAGGACACTCAAGGGGTTGTGTCTGAACCCTTATGTTAGCTTCTTATCCCATTATGAGATTTACATGTATTTTGAAGAAGGGTTCTATTCAAAGTCTTGTGTTAATAACTATCATATAACTTAAGAGCATTAAAGTTAAGCAGAAGAAAAAAAAAGATCCATACCAAATATGTTACTTTCCCCTTTGGGCCCAGTGCTGGCATGCCAGAGTACAGAATCTGTTTTTTGCCAATTTTTATGCCATGGCTGTGAGAAGGATATGGGCTGTGGTTACCCATTTATACTGAGTTTAACTAAGGCTTATGATGCACCCTTTAATATTACTTCAACAACGTGCAATTGAACAATTGAGTGACTGTTAAGTGTTTGATATGTGCATTTGTTATGCTCTATTTAAGACAATATATTATATTGGGAGGTGTGAATCTGAGCTAACTGGAGGAATATAAATAACTGCCCTATTTCTGTGATTAAGTGGTAGGCATATCAAACTTTATACACTTCCGACTGAAAGCTAAGGCATAAAATTACAGTATTTCTATGATTAGGTATAGGCATATAAATTGAACTCTAAGCACCATTGGTATTAGTACAGATACCATTCTAATTATTCCTGATAGTGATGCACCTCATCTTGGTACCATTCCCATTCAAACTTCTCTAGTAATCATGTTGGTGTAGATGTGCACAGTGGGTGTACACTGTTTTTGTTGAAACTAAGCCCTGATTCTGCATCTCTGAGGAGATCATTAGTTTTCATTTGCTCTGGCTTTGTGAGTGTATTCTCGTGTTTATTAAACAGAGCATATAAATCATATTTCTTAAATGTCAATTTCCACAGAGGAAATTGTGTGCAAAACCTGAGCCAGTGAGGTAACATGTTCATGTAACTTGCACTGAAATTTTCTTGGATGCTAAAACGGTGTGTGCATATTATTTTGTGGATTTGAGTTTGTGTCCTTGAAAATTTTTAGTTAGCATTAATATGTTGCCTTTCTGACTTGGGTTCGAATCCTTATTCATGCCTAACCATATCAAACATGAGGTCATACTTCCTATTCACATGGAAGTAAAATATTAGGGGGTCATGATTCCCCCTTAAAGTAATTAAGTCACAATGACTTGCATCATTTAAAGTTTAGCTCTTATTGCAGTTTCATATCATCTAGTAAATTAACCTGTCTGATTGTAAATGACCTTGTCACTTAATGTTGAGGACAGTGTGTGTCGTAGCAAAATTAATTATAAGTCACAATGACCTCCAAAAATGTACATAAATTGAAGCATATCACTGCAAGTTGATTTTCACTACTGTGAGATCCATTGTATGAACTGATTTCATTCAGCAAGAACCAGGTTTACAGTATATTTTAAAGTATTGGTGTCCTGGACGTGTAGTAGTTAGCTCCTGAATTTTCAGCAATGCTATCCAATTTTGGGATGGCTTATAATTCCCTGAGCAACTATACTCACCAAAACAATGGGCTAAAAAAAGCAGAATGATTAAGAGGCCCTCTAGGTAGGGAGTACAGATATAAAAGTCATCAGTAACTGTTGAATGTTTGATGGTCCCATTTGTCCCATTGCTTCGGGGGACTAAGTATATGATTTTAAATATTTGAGTGATGGGATATTGATCTTTAAGCACAATTCTATTCCTGCTATGGGAAAGGCAAAGGGTTTACTTTACAGTACATATATGGTATTAAGCTTATCAAACTTTATGGATGCTCCTCTGGTGTTGGTGACAGATACTATGCTGTATTCATAATAAGAGTATGCCTGGTTTGGATATAAACCAGTCTCATTTGAACATCTCTTGTGTTCTCATATTTCAAATTGGTGTCAACAAGCCCAGCTGGTGCTTATGTGCACACATACTATTTCAAATCTGCTACATGTATGAAACTAATAATTTATGCCCTGATTTGGCATCATTGGGGCACTTCTTAAGGGACAGGTTGTTTTCTTTTGCTATGGATTTGTGCTGTTATTAAACAAAGCATTCTAGTATCCTCATATTTCCTGATTGCCAGTTTCCACTGTGGAAATTGTGTAAATTATAAAGGATTTGAAGCCTGAGTCGGTGAGATGACATATTTTTGCGCTGAGATTTTCCTGGATGCTAAAACGGTGTGTGCTTTAATTGTTTTTTATGGAATTGATGTGTTCTTGAAAATTTTTAGTTAGCATGAATATGTTGCCTTTCTGACTTGGATTGAGACTCCTTATTCATACCATACTAAAATCAAGGATATAAGACATCCCTTAAATAGGTCGGAGTGATTTACCTCATTCTAGAATTGGATCCTATTACTGTTTACTTTCCCATGCTGGATTATAGGTATTTTCACTGTAAGACTTGCATATTGGAGCCAGACTTGCATATTGGAGCCTGTCTTGAGAAGAATCTTTGGGTTAGTGTGTATATCTACCTAATTGTAGGTCACAATGACCTGGTTATTATGCCATGAGATTCTATTATAGCAAGACCTTTTGGATCTTTGACGATTTATGCATTTGAGGACATTGGACTTTTTGTTGCATTCATTGAATCAGTTATGTAATGACCTACTGCACTTTAGAATATGCTTATCTATGAATTTTCAATAATGTTTAATGTATTCATATTATTTGTGCAGTGATCTACAGACTTAATTATTCTTAGGATAATTGAATTATAAATAACTTCATATTGAGGACAGTGTAACACAACCAAATTGTAGGTCACTATGACCTTCAGAAATACAGTCATGATTATTGATTTACATTACACTAGAGACCATTGTAATTTGTTAAACAAGTGTCAGTTTGGTTTGTTTAACATCCCTTCAAGAATTTTTTACTCATATTGAGACACCACCACTTGCCAGAGGAGAGCTGCAAATTTAGACCTGCACTTAGCACTCAAGGCAACTGAGCAGTGATGAATCTTTTTCATGCCAGCATCAACTACTGTGATAGGGACCTCTGTTCATATGGCCCAATCTCCACATTCCACAGTGGGATTCAAACCCATAACATAAGGATCAACTCCTTACTCCGTGACTCTAGAGCAGATGCTCTAACTAGTGTGCCACATGGACCACAAGTATCAGTTTAAAAGAAACTAACACTCTTAGTAATGGATGTATGTACAGTGTATAGTGGTTAGTTACACTGCCTTTAATCACCAGTGCTACCCAGGGTTGGGATGGTGGGAGGGGTTGTAAGAGGATGTGGGGTACAATGTAACACAGCATCATCATTTTGGAGAGTGCATTGGCTTAGGCTTCCTGCCACATAAAGGAACACTTTATACTTTAATCAACATTTGTACATGCCATTGAGAAAGTCAAGTAACTGCATGTTGAGTATTTGTTGTGTGCATTTGTTGCACTGCATTGTAAACTTTTAAGGTTGAATTTGTGTAAACTATTAAGGATTTGAAGCCTGAGTCAGTGAGATGACATGTTTATGCACTGAAATTTTCTTGGATGCTAAAACGGTGTGTGCTTATTGTTTTTATGGAATTGATGTGTTCTTGAAAATTTGTAGTTAGCATGAATATGTTGCCTTTCTGACTTGGGTTTAGAATCCTTATTCATACCCTAAAGTAGGTCACAATGACTTACCTCTTTCTAGAAATGGCTCTTATTGCTGTTTGATCCTATTTTGGGTTATTATATCATTTCCATTGAAGACCAGCTGTTTCTTAAAGAATCCTGGGGATATTGTGTACAAATATAAACTTACAGAAAGCATAATAATACCTATTTGTAGGTCACAATGACCTGATTATTATGCCATGAGATACTATAATAGCAAGGTCTTTGATTTTTGACAGTTGATGCATTTGAGGACATTAGGCTTTTTGTTGCAATCATTGATTCGTTTACAAATTATGACCTACTGCACTGTAGAATACGCTTAACTATGAATGATTAATGTTTAATCTGTTCATATTACTTGTGCAGTGATCAACATACTAATTCCTACGATAATTGATTTATAAATCATTTGATGTTGTGGGTCAAAATGTAATAATAGGTCACTGTGACCTTAAGAAATACATGTACTGCAAATGTCTTTTTTGTCACAATACCGCAGAATAAAAAGTTTGACGTTCATTCGGTGGGAAGAAGATTACACAAATTTCTTGGATTGCCTTTGTATATCTTAAATGCTTAGATTTTCATCAAAAATGCATTTATAGTGACCATTGTAATTTGTTTAGCAAGTATCAAGTTAACAGAAACTATATTTCAGTAATGAATGATGTATTTACAGTGTATAGTGGTTAGTTTTAATCCCTTACTTTAAATCTCACCAGTACTACCCAATATGGTGGGAGGGTTGTTAGAGGATGTGGGATACAGTGTA